GTCCAGATAGACATGTCAGAGGCAAGATGCTGTAGTTCTTGAAAAAGAGTTTATTAATCTTTAAGAGAAAGATCTGCATGGTTGTTAGATGAAGATCACTAGAAAAAGGTCTTAGATGTTGGCAAAGCTTTGTGCCCCTTAGCAAACTTTGCTTTTGCTTCTCCGTGTCATCTCAGACCTTTTCCCTGTGAGACCTCTATAGAACAGACAACTCTAGGACTTGGAAGGAGGCACAGACTTTCTGACTTTTAGTTACCTATTGTCATGTAACAATCCTCCCTAAAATTTAGTGGCTTAAAACAACAGTAACCATTTATTTTGCTCCCTAATCTGTAGTTTAGGCAGGTCATGGGGGTAAGGGTCATTCTCCTTCACATAACTTCAGACAGCTCAGCTGGGGAACACATGGGTTCAACTTGCATGATGGCACACTCTAATGACTTCATGTGGTCCTGATTTTCATTTGGGAGCTCTGCAGTGGCTAGGGGCCTGGGGTCCCAGCTCCTCTCCACATGGGCCCTCTTGAGCAATTTGCTTGAGTTTCCACACTTGCTGGCTGGCCACGGGGCCACATTTTAGAGGTTACACAGCATTACTTCTACCATACTCTTTTGGTTGAGACAATCACAAAGATCCCCCTCAGTTGAAATGGAGGGACATAGACCTCATTACACAATAGAAGTGTGGAGATCACACTGTGAGAAGGGAATGCATATTGTTTCGAGACCATCTTTGAAAAATACAGTTGTCATACTTGATTTGCATTGCTTTTCCTCAACTTGGTAATTTTCTTCAGGCCCTACAGGAAGCCCTCAATCTTCCCGCCTGCCTGCTTTTCTTGATGCCTGCCTTCTTTCCTTCCTGCATTCCTTTTTGCCTTCTTTACTCTTTCCTCCCTCCATTGCTCTCTATTTCTGTTCTTCCATCTTTCCTTTTATTTTTTTTTCTTTCAGATGTGAGCCTTGAAAAATTGGATTTGATTCTTAGCTAGTGAAGTAAAAGTCTAGTCACTTAGATTTAGTGGTCAGACAAGGAATCAGATATGTGGGTGTTGGCTCTTTTCTTGGGCTGGACAGAGTACTTTGAAACAGTTATGTAACGTCAGCCTATTCTCTAGCAGATCAAGAATTCTGTGAACAAGCTTCTGAAGCCAGTGAAGCACAAACTACAGACAGTGATGACATCATAGTGACACCCATATCTCAGAAATGTCCTAAGACAGTAAGTACACTGGAGTAATCATTGTGTATGACACAGGACTGTAAATAATGACAGTGTGCTTAGTAGCTACATGTTTGAAGTTCAAATCCAATTCAAATGAACTTGATGGGAAATGTAAGTTATTTAGTTAAGTGTACTTTACACAATAATAGAAGTTTGTTTGGTTTGGTGTAAATGAGGACTTGCTTCAACAGTTCTGTCTCCTGTTTGGATCCTTGCCTACTTCTCCTTCTCATACCCTTTACTCTACATTGTGATTCGTGCTCAGTTGGACAGATGCCCTTGTCTTTAAGTCCATGTAAGGTGAGCAGTTTTACTCTGGGATGTGTAAAGGAAAGGATTCTTTAGAGGAGGGTTCAGACAAATCATTCAATTTTTGCCATTTTGACTCCATTTATAAATATTAACCATTTCAGCCTCAAATTTCTTTTGAAACTATGGATGCTCCTCAATCTATGAAGGGAGTATGTCCCCAACCCATTATCAACTTAAAATATAATAAGTCAAAAGTGCATTTAATGCCCCTGGCCTACCAAATATCATGGCTTAGTAACACAGTTTCACTGTAGAGTACAGATTTTGTACCCTTGTAATTGCACAGCTGACTAGGAGCAGCAGCTCACTGCCCCTGCTCAGTGTCAGGAGAGAGTGTCATACTGCATATCACTAGTCTGGGAAAAGATCAACGTTCAAAATTCAAAGTATAGTTTCTACTACATATAATTTTCACACCATCTAAAACCAAAAAACTGTTAAGCTGTAAATTGGGAACTAGTTACATACACATATTGAGGACATACATGTATATTAATAAATATTCACAAATATATTTTAAAAAATCATTGTATTAGAATCTTATAGGATTACAAATGATGTAGAAAACAGTTATCTTCTTTGAGCCATTCTCTCTGGCACTTTTGTAGGTAGTCAATAAATATTTGTTGAATGAAAAATTAAGGTCTAATTGAGGATTATGAACCTTTTAGAAACATTAAGAATATAGGAAGAGCCAAATATGGTGACCCATGTTTGTAATCCCAGCTGCTCAGGAGGCTAAGGCAGGAGAATTGCAAGTTCAAAGCCAACCTCAGCAACTTAACGAGGCCCTAAGCACCTTAGTGAGACCCTGTCTGAAAATAAAAAATAATAAGGGCTGGGAATGTGGCTCAGTAGTTGAGCACTCCTGGGTTCAATCCTTAATACCAAAAAAAAAAAATGTAGGATGACCTAAAGTAGGATCAAGTGGATAAATTATGTTGATATAAAATTTAAGGTTTGTAAGAATTCCAAAAAAGGGAATTGTTGCTTTCATAGACTTGTTTGGAAGTCAGAATTTGTGTTGAGGAATTGCAGGAAAATGAAGGATACTGGAATGGAGAGAAAGAACTCAAAGTCACTAGACTTAAACATATAATATGACAAATTGGTTAAGTTTCTCTTCTGAACTTTTGTTTTGGTACCGGGGTTTGAACCCAGGGGCACTTAACCACCAAACTACAAACCTTTGTGCACTCAAAAGTATTACTTGAGAAATTAAATATGAAAACTGAACCATGTTGATAGGCTGTTTAAGACTGTTCCCAGAAAGCTCTATTAATCAGCACAAGAGTCCATAAGGCCCTTTGTACTTACCTCCCTTTATGGATCCTCAGGAGGTGGGCATGTTTGTGCATACCTGTAATCCCAGCAAAAAGAAGTATACAATTGGACTGGGCATGTACCTCAGTGGTAGAGTGCTTGCCACTTGCCTAGGGTGTGTGAGGCCCTGGGTTCAATGCCCAGCACACCACACACACATACACAATATATAATTAGTAATATTACCACTGTAATATATACTAACTCATTTGAACTTGCTGGCAGAACAGAAATAGTTACACAAGGTTAGGGACAGAAAGATAATGCCTTTTAGCTTACTATTTCTGGTGTGCTAGCTAATTTTGCCAGGGCTCAGAGACGTTAAAATTAACAAGGGGTTAGGACATCCTGGAAGACAGAAATTAAGAGACAAAGAGGATAAATTTGATGTTCTGAATATATGCTACTGCTAAAGAGACAAAAATCTGAGGTCTTAAAGCAAATGGGAATAATGGCTCTAACACTGAGCCACAACTTATGCTTATGATTTTTTTTTGTTTGTTTTGGTTTTGACTCATTTTACTTTGTCTTTTTCCTCTAGGACTATTGGCTGTCCCTTCTACTCCTTTTTTTTAATATTTATTTTTTAGGTGTAGATGGACACACAACACAATGCCTTTTTATTTTTTATATGGTGCTGAGGATTGAACCTGGGTCCCACCTGTGCTGGGGGTGCACTCTACTACTGAGCCACAATCCCAGCCCCTATCTCTTCTATTCTTGAAACAGTTGCTGTCATTATGACCCATCACTACCAAACTGACTTTTTTTTTTTTAATATTTATCATTTAGTTATCGGCGGGTATAGCATCTTTGTTTGTATGTGGAGCTGAGGATCGAACCCGGGCCACACGCATGCCAGGTGAGCTCGCTACCGCTTGAGCCACATCCCCAGCCCCAAACTGACATTTAATATAAATACATATATTTATAAATAAAGTTTCAATATTAAAAATAATGTGACTTGGGCTGGGATTGTGGCTCAGCGGTAGAGCACTCGCCTAGCATGGGCGGGACCCGGGTTCGATCCTCAGCACCACATAAAAATAAAGGCATTATGTTGTGTCCATCTACACCTAAAAAAATAAATATTAAAAAAAATAATGTGACTATCTTGTTAAAATTAAAATATAGAGATATATAAAGGACAAAGTTTTCTTACTCAATTTACTTAGTGAGACAGGATCTCACTAAGTTGCCCCGACTGGCCTTGAACTTTTGATCCTCTGCCTTAGCCTCCTGAGTATCTGGGATGAAGGCACATGCCATTGAACCTGGTTCTAAATAAATTATATAATAGGACTTAGTAATTGTACACAGGTATTGAGTAGGGCCCCTAGCCCCTTCCATTACTGTTCCTTAGGGATTGTTCTTATTATTTTTAAAAAATATTTTTAGTTAGCTGGGGTTGTCACTCAGTGGTAGAGTGTTTACATCACGTGTGTGAGACCCTGGGTTTGATCCTCAGCACCACATTAAAATAAATAAATAAAAATAAAGATATTGTGTCCATCTGCAACTAAAAAGATATACATGGACACAATAACTTTATTTTGTTTGTTTATTATTATTATTTTTTAATGTGGTGCTGGGGATCGAACCCAGTGCTTCACACACATAGGAGGCAAGTGTTCTACCATTGAGCCACAACCCCAGCCCAGGGATTGTCCTTATTAACAGTCTGGTTTATACCCCTTCAGTGAACACATATACACACTCACTTGTATAATGTGTATGTATATATATATATATATGTTTATGTAATCATACTATACATTGCCTCCTTTTAATCACCTTCAATCTGTCTTAGGCATCTTTCAGTTTCAATATATAGAAATATACAGATTCCTTTTAATGGATGCATACTATTCTATAGAATAAATTTGTTCAACTATTTGCTATTAGGTCATGTTCAGTCTCTTGATGTTAAAAATTAGCTGGTAATGAACACCCTTGTGTTCAGTAAAAAGTATTTTTGTGTACTTTGTAAATATTTTTGTAGGGTAGATTCCTAGAGGTGGAATTACTGTTTTTTTTTTTTTTTTGGTTGTTGTTATTTGCTTCTTTTGGTAACTGGGGATTGAACCCAGTGGAGCTTTACCACTAAGCTACACCCTCAGCCCTTTTTATTTTTTATTTTGGAGACAGGGTTTTACTAAGTTGCTTAGTGTCACTCTAGATTGCTGAGACTGGCCTTGAACTTGCAATCCTCCTATGTCAGCCTCTTGAGTTGCTACTGTGCCCAGGAATTACTGTGGTTTTTATTTATTTTTTATTTATTTTTTTGATACCCAGGATTTAACCCAGGAGCACTTAACAACTGAGCCACATTCCCAGCCCTATTTTTATTTTGAGACAGGGTCTTGCTAAATTGCTTAGGGCCTTGCTGCATTGCTGAGAATGGCCTTGAATTTGCAATCCTTTTGCCTTAGCTCCTGAGTTGCTGGGATTATTGGTAATATGCCACCACACCCAATAAGGTATTACTAGTTTTTAATGGAAATATGGACTTGAAGTTATTGTCCCCCTCCCAAATTATGTCAGTTTAGTCTCACCATATAATGGCCTTTCTCTCACAGTGTCACTAACAATTCCCCTGGTATTTTTTTTTTTTTTAAGAGAGAGTGAGAGAGAGAGAGGGGGACAGAGAGAGAAAAATAATTTTAACATTTATTCATTTTTTCTTAGTTCTTGGCGGACACAACATCTTCGTTTTTGTATGTGGTGCTGAGGATCGAACCCGGGGCCGCACGCATGCTAGGCGAGCGAGCTACCACTTGAGCCATATCCCCAGCCCCATTCCCCTGGTATTCTTAGTTTGTTTTTCGTACTGGGCATTGAACCCAGAGATACTTTACCACTGAGCCACATTCCCAGCCCTCCCACCCTTAAAATTTTTTTTTTATACCTTTATTTATTTATTTACATTTTTATGTGGTGTTGAGGATTGAACCCAGTGCCTCACATGTACTGAACAAACCCTTTACCACTTAGCCACAACTCCACAACCCACAGCCCTTTATTCTATTTTATTTTTGAGACAGGGTTTCATTAGGTTGCTTAGGGTCTTGCTTAATAGTTAAAGCTGGCTTTAAACTTGCAATCCTCCTACCTCAGCTTCCCAGACCTCTGGGATTACAAGTGTTTACCAACAGGCATGGCAGTATTCTCAGTTTTAATGGAATAATAGTGTTTATCAGGGAAGATATCAAAAGTAATTTGAAATCTAAAAAATGATCTCTGTATCACTGTCTAAAAGTATCCCAATGTATGTTAGCATTGGAATAGCTTTCAGTGCTTTTAAAGAAACAGGAAAACTTTGTTCTTGATTTTCCAAAATTTGCTTGATCAAGAGCTATTAATTTATAAGACACCTATTCCACAAATACACCTTAAGAAATTCAGCTTAACGTTTATTGAGACTATATTAGAGTTCATAACTTAAAAATGATTTTATGTATGAAGAAATTATAATAAACCTGCCCCATAAAAAGTGACATAAAGAAACTTACCAGTTTTGACTCTGGGTGTAGGAGAAGAAAGAAAAATATTGCATTTGATGTAGCTCTATAGTGGAGCATTTGCCCATCATGCATGAGGCCCTTGATTATATACCCAGTACTGAGGAAGAAAGAAAGAGCCAGGTGCAGTTGGGCATGCCTGTAATGCTAGTGGCTTGGGAGGCTGAGGCAGGAGGATCATGAGTTCAGCAACTTAGTGAGGCCCTCAGCAACTTAGGAAGACTGTCTCTAAATAAAACATTAAAAAGGGCTGGGGATGTGGCTCAGTGATTAAGCAACCCTGGGTTCAATCCCTGGACCAAAAAAAAAAAAAAAAAAAAAAAAAGAAAGAAAGAAAGAAAGAAAGAAAGAAAGAAAGAAAGAAAGAAAGAAAAGAAAACTTCTTCTTTGAGAATTTTATAACCAGGAGGAAGCCATCAAATGGGGTTTTCTGCCAAATTACATTACCAGTGTCTGAAAACCTCAAGCTAGGGAATTAAAGTGTCCCACATAAGATGTGCCTCAGGTACCTGGCAGAAACAAAAGAAAATCCTGTGTTGAAGAAATTACTTCAACATTAGACAGACCTTCAAGACTTTACATAGATAAAGTTCCAAGGAATAGGATCTTATATTAAAAAAAAAAATCTAGGGGGCTGGGGATGTGGCTCAAGTGGTAGCACGCTCGCCTGGCATGCGTGCGGCCTGGGTTCGATCCTCAGCACCACATACCAACAAAGATGTTGTGTCCGCTGAGAACTAAAAAATAAATATTAAAAAAAAAATTCTCTCTCTCTCTCCTCTCTCACTCTCTCTTAAAAAAAAAATCTAGCACAAGGTGAGACATGTAATAAGCACTGAATTTTTAAAAAAGGGGATAAAGTTTTGTTATAAAATACTTGCTCATGCTTTCAGTATCATATCCTCACACTAAGTGAGTACTCGATAAATGGTAAGTTACTAAAAAAAAAATTGAATCATGAGTGAGCTCTCTGGGATGACAGAAATTTTCTATATCTTGACTTAGGTGTTGATTACACAATTGTATACATTTGTCAAAGCTGTACATTTAAGTTCTTTTCATTTTACTGTATGTAAATTATACCTAAATATTTAAAAGTTAAATGCATATATTCTCAGGAGATACCTTAAACAGTCTGACATAACAATGGCCTTTGTATTTTTCTTATGTCACTCACTATAAGAAATGTATTTCTACCTTGTGCCCAGTAAACTCATAAATGAAAGTTTTAAGAAACAAGCCTTACCCCTTACCATTTGCCATGCATTATTCTATCCCATCCTATCTTATCTCATCCCATCCTATCCTATATTTTATTATTTCATTTTAAAAATTACTAGTGAAACTTATTAAGCTAATTCATCAAAGTGCCAAAACCCATGTTTTGGAAAACATTGTGTGTAGAGTTAGAGTTTGCTTCATGGGGGTTGTGGGAGGGTTATATGGGGATTACTGAGAGGAAAACACCAAATATATTTATTTTTTAAAAGTATCATAGATGACTCTGACACACAATGGTTGGGAAGTATTGCTTGCTGAATTTCTTAGAAGATACAGGTGCTCCATTTGTTTTCTAAGAGAAGAAAAGATAAGTTGGAGTAGTATGGGCATTGTCTTGATGACCTAAAGGAAAGAAGCAGCCAGGAGGATGCTCACAGATAAAAGGGAACCAAGGTTTACAGGACATCACTCTGTATTGACATGGTCTTGCTGCTACACTGTGCAAGGAGGAACTCATGTTGACCTTGGTCTACTTCTGGAAACTGGAGATTTGCCAGCTGTCCTTTTGACTTCCCTCATGCTAGTGTGAACAGAGGGACAATCGAAAGAGACGACAGCAATCCTGGAGTGGAGTTGAAAGTATTGGAGTCACTGTGGGAGTCTGGTGGCCTCCTCCATGGCATGCACTTAGGTGGACAAAAGAATCATTGGTGGGCCGGAGTTGTGGCTCAGTGACAGAGTGCTTGCCTAACATGTGTGAGGCACTGAGTTTGATCCCTGGTACTACATGAAAATAAACAAATAAGGGGCTGGGGATGTGGCTCAAGCTGTAGCGCGCTCGCCTGCTGGCATGCGTGTGGCCCGGGTTCGATCCTCAGCACCACATACAAAACAAAGATGTTGTGTCCGCCGATAACTATAAAATAAATATCAAAATTCTCTCTCTCTCTCTCTCCAAAAAAAAAAGAAAGAAAAAAAAAGAAAATAAACAAATAAAATACAAAATAGGGGCTGGGGATGTGGCTCAAGAGGTAGCGTGCTCGCCTGGCATACGCACGGCGATCCTCAGCACCACATATAAAGAAAGATGTTGTGTCTGCTGAAAACTAAAAAATAAATATTAAAAATTTCTCTCTCTTTAAAAAATAAAATAAAATATAGGTATTGTGTCCATCTACAACTAAAAAAAAAAATCACTGGGAATCAGGAAGCTCTTGTTGTAGCTGAAGGAGCTACTAAATCTCCAAGATCGATGGACAGGTCTTATAAGTCCTGTTCTCAGGAGAATACTGGATTGGTTTTTGTTGAAGTTGGAAAAAAGCTCTCTCCTCATAAATCATCTTGATTATTTCTGTATGTGGAGATGGCCAAGAAAGGATGATCTGGAAAAATTTGGAAGATAGAATAGCTGGATTCTCCTTATCAATTTCCCATAGACTAGTTGTGACAATTCAGACAAGTTGTCTCTTGGTGACAGTTTTAACCTATGAATTGATTCTCAGGGAGTAATATATTAGATTATGTCTGTGATTGATTTCTGGATAATAATGTGTTAATTTGATGGAGTCTAAACACTTGGAGCCTCACTAACCTATAGGAAATAAATAATATTTTCCTTATAATATTTCCTTATTAGGATTCAGAGAAGATGTGCATTGAAATAGTCTCCCTGACCTTCTATCCAGAGGCTGAAGTGATGTCTGATGAGAATATAAAGCAGGTGTATGTGGAGTATAGATTCTACGATCTACCCTTGTCTGAGACAGAGACTCCAGTATCCCTGAGGAAACCGAGGAAAGGAGAAGAAATCCACTTCCACTTTAGCAAAGGTGAGGTACCCTGTGTGGTGAGGGGTAGAGGAGGCTGACAGACATTTAGATTGATGGTCAGAAGTGCTCTGGATTTCTGATGGAGGTGAATCCAGCCATTTTATCTTTTATGATGATGATGGCGATAATGATGGTGATGATTTGCAGTACTGGGGATTGAACCTAGGGGTGCTTTACCACTAAGCTACATCCCAATCTTTTTTATTTTTTATTTTGAGATCTTGTCTGAGGTCTCCTGAGACTGGCCTCAAATTTGGGATTCTCCTGCCTTAGCCTCCTGAGTAGCTGAGATTAGAGACAAGTGCAACTGTGTCTGAATACTCTTTTCCTTTTTAAAAATTAATTTATTTTCTTAGTATATCCTGCCCTAGTATGTACAAGATAGCAGTTGACTTCTCATTTAGGTAACAAAATTTCTGAGATGGGCTGACAAATCTGAGGTGTGCGCAACTATCAGAGATCTGGACTGTTGTCTTCCTATCATCCCACAGCCTACCTAACCTTCTATCTTTGTGGTTAACCCAAGGTTCCTAATGACTGCTGGGGAAAGGAAGAATGCCTCCCAGCTGAGCCCTTTAAGCAGCCTTCACAAAAGTCTCATACAACACAACAGTCTGAATTAAATCCTGTCACCATATTAAACTAAAAGATAGACAGGAAAGTGTGCTAAGGTTGCAACATTCCTATACAAAAAGATAGGTGTCCTGAGTTGACCCTACCACAAATTTGAATCTCCAGGTGCCCCAAAAGAATCAGTCTCCTAGAATTCTCTAGCTTAGGGAGTAATGGGAGCACATTTATTTTGGCATATGATAGAACAGCTTTCAATGACAATTATAAGGCTTCTTTTTCTTAAATAACCAGATGGTAAATAGTTTAGGCTTTGTAGGCCAGACAGTCTCTATTGACTGCCATTGTGTTTCAAAAACAAACACAGGCTGGGGGTGTAGTTCAGTGAAGAGCATGTGATTAACTTTATTTACAAAAAAAAAGGGGGGGGGAAGCCAGCTCATAGATCTAGTTTGTCACTTTTTTACATAGACTACTTATGAAAGACTTCATGCCCAAATAGCAACAGTATGTGATTTTTTGCTTTTTTTCTTACCTTTAATACAGTGATAGACCTGGACCCACTGGAGCAACAAGGCCGAAGGCAATTTCTGTTTGCCATGTTGAATGCACAAAATCCTGAGCAAGGACAGTAAGCATCTGATTTCCACTTTAAAAGGAAGGAGATATTCAAACAGGAATTTAAAAGTCTGAGTTTAGTTTTGAGCTGATGCTGAATATTTTAACAATTTCTTTCGAGTTAATTTATTCTTTTGTGTATGGGGATTACTGGGTATTTAACCACTGAGCTATATACCTCTAGCCCATTTTTATCTTTATTTTGAGACAGGGTCTCAATAAATTGCCCAAGCTGGCCTTGAATTTGTGATCCTCCTGCTTTAGTTTCCCAAATTGCTGGGAAACTGTGCCTGCCAAGTTAATTTACTGTTCTTTTTCCTGGTACCAGGGATTGAACCCAGGGGTGCTTAACTACTGAACTACATCCCCACCCCTTTTTTATTTTGAGACAGGGTCTTGCCAAGTTGCTTAGGACCTTGCTAAATTGCTGAGGCTGGCTTTTGAACTTGTGATCCTCCTGCCTCAGTCTCCCAAGTCACTGGGATTACAGGAGTGTTACCACTAAGTTAATATACTATTAATGAATTTCTCATCTATTTGAGCCCAACTGATGTTTGTGACTACTTGATCAATTATTTAGTCCTATAGGTTTAGTTCATTTCTCACCCATGCCAGCCCTTGACGGTCCTTTTTGTGGCAGTAATCTACTTGTATATTGACATGGAATGGACAGCATGCTTTGACATTCTAAGCTAATTAAGTTCTCACATGAAGAAGTGTTCCTAGCTTGCTAAAAATTGTGCCTTGGTAATACTAATTTTACATTTAGACTTTTAAAATTGTCTTTTTATGGGAATATTTCAATTTTGTTATAACTAAGTAAATTCTATATCTCCTTTAAAATTTAGGAAAGCCAATAGGCTTTATTTTTCCTTTAATCTGAGACTTTATAGAGTTTTCAAGTTATATGTATTGGTTACTTATACTAAAAAGAAAAATTATTGTTTGGCTGAATTTCAAATTTCATATGTTTTGGTTTAATTTTGGAAATCTGGCAATCCTGTTTTCTCCTGTGTGTGATTAAGAAATGATACAGGG